CTGTTTCGTGTTGATGAAGCTTTTACCAGTAGATGAAAACTGTTATTAACTTCATAGACGATGTCACTCGTGCAGTTTCACATTGGTTCGGATGATCGAATACAGTTTCCGGAAGTGATTTTCCGTTCAATTCATTTAGTCCGCTCTCTGGAGGAGCAGATGGAACGGCTTTCCATGACGAGCGTACAGACCAGCTTTTTTCTAGATCTTATCGTTTATCTTCAATTCCATCTGATAGATTTTCTTTTCTTAAAATTCTGGTTTTATTCCTCCATTCCACATTTTAATGATTTCGTTCCATTGACGGCTTCACGACCACCACCACCACCAGCTGACAACGTCTTCTGGCACTTCAGCTAAACGCTGCGGTCGCATCGAAGCGCCCAAGTATATTTTAATGGCAACTATTCCAAGGCGACGCCTGCTTGATGCTTCTTAAAAAACGGGGCCACCTATCCAGTATTTCCACTCTTTACTCAGCACTATATTTTATCGTTAACAATTTAAGATAGCAAAAAGTAAGTCATAACTCGATTCTTTCGAGAAAGAACTTATCGAAGAAATTTTAAGAGAGACCCAAGTGATTGAAGCTGTTTCAAATATCGTTTGACAGTGACTTATGACGTTCTTAAGCTTGGGAAAAACAGGAGATTTTAAAAAATAAACTCTCAAAGTGAAGATTATCAATTTTTTCTCCTTTCAACTTTCATTGATTAATTCGTCATTGAGTGGACTCTAACATGTTTGCTACCGAAGCATCTTTAGGCAGTAATTTTGCATATTTTTTCTGCAATTTTTTTTGTAAAAAGAGCGTATTGATTTTCATCCAGGAAACAGCCAAGATTTCGTTGACATAAAAATGAAAGAAACAGTACTGTTTTTATCATAGATGGTCGCTGATTGTAAAGTGAAGTTTGCGAAATTTAGGACGTGTATGGCGCAATGGTCGGAAGCGCTCTGCCACATACATGTGGAATCGATCCCTTCGCCCATGGCCCACCAAGCCTTCCATCCCTCCGGGGTCGGGAAATTGGTGCCACATCTGCCTGAGAGGATAGCAGTACTTGTTCGATAGATCGGTACGCCACTGCAAGTCACTATAAAGGCCAGGTATGCATTCAATCACCTCCAAACGATGCTTGATGGGCCAGGGGCACGGGATCGATCCCATGTGCATTGTAGGACACTTCTGACCATTGCTCTAACGCACCCATCTAGATTTTCGAGGTAGAAGCCTCACTAATGAAAAACGGGGGAAAGGCTGAATTTATGAATACCAAATAGTCAAAGTTCTCTTAGCAGAGTAAGAATACATTTTTCTGGTAGAAAAAGATATCTCAACTATGCCGATTTTTGCCTCATCTAATAAAGTTCAATATGAACTAAGTTATGTTAACTCTAAATAACTTTTTCCAGAGTTTGTGTTGAAGTCAATGCATACCTTTCAAAATCGGCTAATTATTTGAAAATCTCACGAAATTTTTAAAGTAGAGTTTTTACCGGTTATTTACAAGTTTTCAACCTGACTCACAGTTTCTCGCTAACCTTTCTTGTTCGGTCGCTTTATGGGGCATTGGACCGTTTAATTTCATGTGATAGTCACTGGCGGGCATTTCGTGAAGGTGACACCTCTGTGAAATCCATTAGCACTCTGTAGAAGAAATGAAACAGTGAAATCTTTGTAGAAAAGAATAAAATAAGAACAATAAAAAGTAGAAGGAGGGTGTGTGGAAAATTTCTGTGAAATATTGCTGGCTGTTTAAATGTTCTAAAGAAAAATCTATTCTTTCATTGATAAATGAACACAAAATTTATAAAAAGAAACATTATTCGGCCGACGTTTGGCACCTGCACCTTCTTCAATGTTGGATTGTCCAGAGAAGAACAAACGATTATCGACGAACAGTCATTGTCAACAGCCGTCATTCACAAAAGAATACTGCCGGGGGTGGTTCCTCATTCGAGCGGTTCTCCACAGGATTCGGTTCGATGCGATCACGACGGCCGAATCGGATCCATCGAACTAAGGAGGAAAACCAAGGCGTCGAAACGTTAAGCGAATAATATTCTTTATCAACCTCGTGTTGGCTTCTCAATGAATGAATATTCCGATTCCGATTTTAAAGGGAAGTCGGTTCTTGAAATATTCCGAAGAAAAGTTGTGTTGACTTCGTTTCTTAAGTAATGCTTAGAATTAACGTGTACACAAGGTTTAATAGAAAAGAATACGATGTAATGGCGATATTATTTTTATTTCTTTAGTTTTTCTTAGTCTATTTATAGTATATGGGCGCGTTGATCGGAGGCGCTCTGCAACATACGCGTGGAATCGATCCCCGGGCCCATGGCTCACCAAGCCTTTCATCACTCCGGGGTCGGCGGATTAGTGCCAGACCTATCTGGGAGGATAGCAGCACTGGCTTGATGCATCGGTAGACCACTGCGAGTCATTGTAAAGGCCAGATATGCATTCAATCAACTCCAACGATACTTAATGAAGTCGAATGCATGGCACATCTCTTATGGATTGACCAATGCCGAGAGCATTATCCTTTATTTTTTTAAATTTTATTTGTAGTACAACCACAACGTTGCTGAGATATTTGCAAAACTCTGGACCGCAGGTATCTATGGTGGAGAACGAGAACGCGCTATTGTCCTTTCCCGGGAGTAACGCGTTCACCACCACACCATGCTGGTCCTTTGTTTCGCCTGTCTCTCAGTTATTTCTATCTATCTTTGCCACAGCAATCACCCGTCAGCGGGATTGATTTTTATTTGTAGTAGTTAAGAATTTTTGTGGCGGATAGAAAGTGTCGACAGCTTTAAAATGCAGTCACATATAAGGCGGTAGAAACCTTTTATTCTTTATCTTAAATCTTTATTTTTTAAAAGATTACTTTATCAGGCTTCGATCATTTTGACTATTCAGGCCGGTATGACTTTCTGCGTTTTCTTAGCTTTTAAATCGTCAAAGGTAGTTTTTCTCCCATTTGTAAACCTTACTATTCAAAGGGAGAGTTGTAGTCACCTGGTGATTTACGGGTGTCGTTTTAAGGCAGGCGATTGTCGGTTCAAACTTGCTCAACGCGCTTTTTTTGACGACATCAATACTGGTGCATACATGGGGCTATCCTCGCTCTGTATTGGAAAAACCTCATTGAATGCACCTGAGAGGTTTCGGAAAAAGCAACAAAGACAAGACAAAGTTTTTGCAACCTTATTGGCATTGGCTTAGCGGTGTAAAAACTCTTAAGATGGGTTTTGAAAGAAAGAAAGAGAGAAATGAGGGTTTTTTTTCTGGATTTTTTGCTTGGTGATATATCAGTTTATAGATTAATTGGTTTGAACGAGTATGAAGATCTGTTGCGTGGTCTGTTCAAATACATTATCTCTCTTGATGGCGTAAGCATACTACGGCTAATAGCTTGGAAGCTCCATCCGCCTACCATAGACAGAATCCAGTCATATTCGTTTATGTTTAAGGGCCATCGCCGACATTCGGTTGAGCTTTCGGTCAAACAACTCTGAAGCTGTTTTGCGCAACGATCTCCTATAGCCGGATAGTTTTATGGGTTGCGCGATCTCCTGCAGTATATCGCGAGCCGACGATGCCGACGAACCAGCTATGAGAAGGTCTCGTTGGCATGAAAGCAAACAACCAGTATGGGGAGCGGATATCAACAGTTATGTACAGGATGGGGGAAGTTGTGCTACAACTGAGTTTTATGGAGTGACGAGAAGAAGATCGCCGAAGAAGTTGTGCGACGGCATAGGGCTGACTCACCGTAACTGGCAAAGCTATTGGCAGCAAGCCCTTAGTGGTCTTGGGAAGTTGACGTCTGAGTGGAATTTGCTGATAAAAATTTCGAACCCTGTCGACTAATTCAGTGCCGAAGTGTCCATTAGAAAGCTGCAGATCATTAATAGTTTCAGTTTAAGAGAAATTCTTTGAGCAATTTCCCTGGAATAACGTTCTAACTGAACGATTTTCTCTACGCCGACAAATTTCGCATAGACACATTTCATTACAACATCATCTAAGTCTCATCCCATAGTGAGTCTTATTTATTCAAGCGAAAACCATAGAATGTTCGGATCTTCAACTTCAGTTTACCAGGATCGAAATCAGGTTTAGTGGGACCCAAGGTTTTCAAGATTTCAAGATTTCAAGAATCAAGAGGACCTTATTTCTTGGAATAGAGGAAATCCTCTTAAATAAGCATGCGAAGTTCGCATTCCATAAATACTCCAGTTATCAAAAAATTGCTGAATATTAAAGAAAAATCGTCATCGGACTCTAAATGACAACGTAATTATTAACGAGTATCGACAGTTGTGTGTTACTCTAATTGGCACCGAACGGAACGGTTTCCTTTAATATCCGCAAGTTCACTCCTTTGTGTTTTAGCATCTCGTAAAGATTAATTTCCCTCAATGCCTCATCGTTGTTGTCATCTGTGATTGTCTTAGAGTTTTATCCACAATGTCGTTGTCTTTTTAGCAACAACGATGACCGCACTGTTTTGATTCGAATCCAATAATAATAACCTCAAAATCTATTTATTATCGTTTCATATTCTTCAACTGGTTTTCTTCCTATGAGAACATGGAGTTCATTTTCCAAAATCCTAAAAATACATCCTTAATGGGCGGAGCAATCTGTCTACTCGAGTCTAAACCTTGGAAACGCGTAGTGATTTGAAGATGTTTCATTTCTCCTTTTATGAGCTTGCAATCATATTCGACCATCTTCATATCGCCTAATCTTATTCTTTGGCTTCATTTCCTTTGCTACTGTCCGACTACTTTCCGAGAATTTTTCCGCTTTCCGCTAGCTCGACAATTTTTGGTGTTGTTTTTCAGATATGAAAATTTTCAGTTGTAGCTTTTTCTTGCAACGGTCTTCGTGTAATTGATTTGAAATCGCTACTATCAAGAACCGATACCACTTTCTTCTGAAACCATACAAATGCTGTCTTTCTTTTCTTCTTTCAGAAATGTATTCGAAACTTTTGTCAACTTTGCTCGGTCGACACAAATCACAATGTAAGTCACAACCGGGTCCAGCATCAGAAACGACCACCACCAGCGATTCACATCTGGCAGCAGATGGTGGAGGTGGTGGTCCGACAACGACGGCAGTCAAGCCTCCCATCAAGCCACACCCACTGCCGGCAGCTGGCCACGCCCTCTTGCTGGATGACTGCCAACTAATTGACCACGCCCCGTGTCCACGTTGCTCTCAAACAGACAACAACTACGAAGTGGTCAATATGCGTCATTTTGCGTTGTCCTGGAATGTGAAGGTAAACGTTGCATTTTCCTTTAATACTTTTTAGGTTTTTTGTAACATAATTTAATAGGAACTAGTTAATTTCATTCAAATTTGCATTTTTATTTTATGGAAATAGGATTTGTTTTCGTGGAAGGGTCAGCAACCTTCGTTCTATTTTACGGTGCTCTTTGTTTGAATCTTTCTTTTTGTACGAGGTACTGATCTGTACTGATTTCCTTCTTTATCTGAACGCTACGCCAAAAGCCTCACCTTGTTCGTACACTATGATACAGTATACCCGCACCTGAATCAGTTTCATTTGATTTTTCTCTTCTCCACTAATTCTCTAGTTTACCTGATCTAAAGTCATATCAAAAAGCCCTTTCTAAAACTAAATTCACGAAAATAATTTGATATTCCATGCACACATTGATTCAGTACTTATTTCTTATCTACTTGGTCTTGTCATCTCCAATCTAACAAGAATTTCTATCGAACGTATTCATCAATTTTTAGCATTTTTATACAACTCTCTTAGAAGTGAAATACAACCACCAAGGTGCTGAGATAGAAACAAAAACTCGGACCTTTAGGCGCGCTTCGAACCCAAGATTACCATTTCCGGTGGTCACGTGCTGTCCACCACACCAACCTAGGCCATTGGTTTTACCTTTCTCTCGGACAGTTTTTTATCCTAACGGTATTAGCAACAATAACCCATTAACGAGAATGATTTTGGGTAGCACAAATCGGCATTGAACCTAAGCTGAAGCTGCAGTCGAAATTACGATGTTTAACTTCTATTTACTGCTTATGCTTTTTTGATAGCACTACTAGGGCAAAAAAACTGGCTGAGAGGAAGGCGAAATAAAGGCTTCGGTTGGTATGTTGGATAGTACGTGAGCCTGGGAAAAAGGAATCGCGGGTTCGAAGCGCAACTGAAGGCGTGAGTTTTGTTCTTATCTCAGCATCTCTGTGATCGCATTTCACGTAACACCACTCTGCCGTGGAAAAGGAATAGGCAATAATAAAATAAGCATTTTCTTAAAAATGTTTGAGAGAATAAGGTTCAATTTTTTGTTTTGATTCGTTCAATTTTTAAGAACCTCTTCTCTAAGACAACTTCCTCACCAATGAATGATTAAGTACTTCATTTTTGGCATTGCTTACTTTCATCTTAACGTCCTGCTGTATTCACTTTTAATTCATAAATTCGCCCAAAGGCAACGAGTGTCAGCCTGACCAGCCGATAGAATAATCGATGCATTGTCCTTTTTTGATGAGTCTGTCACTGTTTCCTTTCGTTGACAAAGTTTGTTCTTGTTCCTTTTTTAAGCGTTTTTTATTCCTCCACTGGTTGTAATTCTTCTTTGTTTGCTGTGGAATGAACTTTTAGAGAAGTCTGTAAGATATCCAGGACGTAAGCGATTTTATCGGATTATGTCAGTTGACATTGCATTCTATTCGAAATTGTAACAGCTGATCAAATGAAATCCGATATGGTAAGGCGGCGAGTGTGCGAGATAGGGAGCATCTTTGGGTTTTGTTTAAATGGGACGATCCACTAGTTCATCGTTTCTGGATCTAGACAACTTAAAAAAGAGCCGCAGCACGAAGAACTCGAGTGGAAGTCATCCATATGTCATCGACCTACGTTTACTAGGACAAGATGACTGATGACCCTGGCGACAAAGTGCGCCGGGAATTTTTTCTTCTGCAGTCTTTTTCTCTAGTACTTGATAAGACTGAACCTTATGTTTCAGTTGCAAAACAATCGCGGTTCGCTATTTGCCAAATGTGACATTCAGTTCCGGTTCCCTCATTTTATGTGAGTTGTCATTAGAAATTGTCCGACGTCAATCCGCATAGAAAACGATTCAGAAGACAGACCGGCCATTCTCCGCCAACATATTTCAAAAATGAACACACTACATCAGTCATCTGTCAACGACGATCGTCGCTGTGAAGGACATCGTTTGGCGCCATTGTTGCCAATATTAGGCCATCTGTTCCTGAGATCAAATGGATTGTGTGGGCGTCTGGCAGTTGCTGATCGGGGTTGCTTTGCGCGAAATTTCAAGCACTAACCTCGGAACCTAAACAGCAGCACATCCAGTTTGTGATACTGATATTGAAGCGACCTTAAAGAAGTTTTAAAGCCAATTTTTGCCTATATGTTAGCAAAATTGCGTAGAAATGGGCTTCTTTACAGGTATGCTTAGTCTAGTTCGAAAGAAAAACAACTAATTGTGGGCTGAGACAAAAAGTGAAAGAAGTGATGTAGGTTTTTTTCGCAGAAGTTCTAAATGCAAATTCTATTTTGTGGAGCCAAAAACAGTGCTTTCTCAGTTTTTTTCCATTTTTTTGTTTGCATAAAGAGCACAGCTTTGTCTTCGTTGAAGCAAGGGCAAATTATGACTGCAGAGGAACTAACAGGCTTTCTCTGGCAAAGAGAAAAGATACTAGAAGCGTTGCCTTTACACCTTTTATTGAATCTGAACGGCTACGTTTTGGAAATAAAGCGCTCCGAGCTTGGCTATTCGTTTCGGCAAAGGTTTCGAGTAGAAAGGAACTGAAGTTGTATAAATAAAAGAGATGACTGAAGCTGTATGACCTTGACTTTCCTATCAGTAGAAAATGTGACATTCTGCACTTTTTTTCACATCTAGCGAGGATCCTGGCTATTTCAAGCTTGAAGGAAGTGCAAAAAAGCTATGAGAAATTGCCGAACTGTTGCTTATAGTGATGGCCAGTGCCGGAGAAGACAATGCCAGGGGATAGTGTTTGAATGGTTGTAAACGAGAGCAGTTAACCAATTTATGATTTTATGATCCTACGACAATAGGGCCATCCGTAACCAGTTGTAGAATTTAAATAGATAAGTGAGTTACGATAGCTTACTGTAGCACGAAAATGGCTTCAGGGACCACAGTCACACGACTATCTTGAAATTCGATTAAGGACGAGTAGCTATTGTTTAACGAACTCTGATCGTTGCTTTATCGTCCTGTATATTTGTGTTGATATCTAGAGCGTGAATACCAATAAGTATATTTTCCCACATAATTATTTAGCTTCTTGTATTTTTATCACTATCTTTTTTCTTGCTTGCTTAGTGGTTTTTTCATTACGAAACCGCCTTGGCGCTTTCGATCAAATATTGATCCATCGGCAGATCGATAAAGTCTTCAAATCCATCGATGATATTTACACAATTTATTTCCTTTGTCCATCAGTGGATCATAGTTGTTTAAGCATTAGATAAGGCTTGTCCAGACAGCACATTTCTGGCAGACTGTACTGGAAAGCCCCTTGGATCGTCTTCACTTGCATTTAATCTGCACTATTATTTAAATGAAAAGGCTACGGTAAAATCATTTTGCTATAAAAACACTAAGTGCTTAAAAAAAAGCGGCCAAACCACCATAATGATGTTCTTCAATTGGTCACTGTGTTTAGATTTTGTATAAGTTAGCGTCTAATTGAGGAAAATTAAGTCAAATTAATTATTTAATGTAAGCTTTATGTTTTCTAGGGTACTTACTTGCTCGTTTTCAAAAAATAGTGATTAATCGTGCTATTTTAGTACCTTGGCTCGTTTCCAATTTCGAACACCACGCCCGAACACGTGACAACTCGTCTCGAAAAATTTCAAGCCCCGCCCATTTCCAAATGGGTCACGTTGTCCGTTTCGTTGCTCGGAGTACGCGTTCACAGCCATGATGTAGGTTCCCATCGTCACTAATCATATATGTGATAAGGCAAAACAATAGAACCGTTATGAAAACATGAAGTCTTTGTTTTTCCTATTCATATTATTATCATTATTATTACTATTATTATTATTATTATTATTATTATTATTATTATTATTATTATTATTATTCACAATACACAAATAGTGCTTTGTTCGTCCCTATGCCTCACGCTCACCAAGCTTTCCATATTTTCGGGATCGGAAAATTGCTACCAAACTTGTTTCTGAGTATAGCAGTGTTGACGCGATACATCCGTAAGCTACTGCAAGTCATTATATAGAGCCGGTAAAGATTCTTGATTAAATCGAATGCATGGCTCTTCTCTCAGAGGTTACCAATTCTGTGAGCTCTATTCTTTTTCTTTAGTATTATTGTTACTGTTATGATTATGGTTATTGTCATATCGTCAGGGCGCGTGTGGCGCAGTGGTCGAAAGCACCCTGCAACACACACGTGTAATCGATGCCCGCGCCCATGGCCCATCAAGCCTTCCATCCTTCCAGGTTCGGCAAATTAGCACCAGATTTGTCTGGGAGGATAATAGCGCTGGCTCGGCAAATCGGTAGGCGACTGCGAGTTATTGTAAAGACCAGATATATATTCAATCACCTTCAAACGATACTTGACGAAGTCGAATGCATGACGCATACCTAAAGGGATTAATCAAGGCCGAGAGCTTTATTCTTTATCCTTTTCTACCATATCGTTACCAAAGTAAAAATGTAAAGAAAGAAAATTTTGGGGAAAGCATCTTAGCTACTTCGGAAGCGTGTTGTATTCATTTTGTGATAAAAACCAAGTAAACAAAAAAATAAACCTGGTGAATGAAATTTTTTGGAGGTAGTATATGTAGGTTTTTTTGAAATGCTTTTAGTAGTCTAGTGGTGGTTATATCTTATCCTAGTTGTTTGCGGAATATGATAATCGGACACTATTCCTTTGTTTGCAATTTGAGCGACTTCGATTGTCGATAGTTTCCACTGGAACATAAAAACCACCAGCAATTGTTGCGCGATGACCCACTAAGAAGTGTTTAATAATTAACTTCTGTGAAAAAGAATACCGCCTTTGTTTCTGGTGGATGGCTATTGTTGCGTAGTGACGTTCGTTAACCTGTTAATGAGGTTCTTGAACGGTTTACATTGGTCTTGACGCCGATAGACGGACGTCTCCGTCGCTTGCGGTGACGACGATGGCGTCGCCGACGACAACGGCGACGACAGCGACGGCAGCAGCGCAAGCGACGATGTTGACACTACAGCTGGGGTAGGCACATCGAATGATTTGCATTTTTGAGTCATCTATGCCTCTGATCAAAAGATGCTTGATGAACGACCAAGGCAAAAAATTCGAAATAGTGGCGAATTTAAGCCTTTTTTGTTATGAAATATCCAAATGTAGATAGAAATTTTACAGCCGATTATGTAAATAAACTGCTATCACAGAAACGCGTACTGGCTAGGCAAAATGTTCATCTGAATAATATCCTAGCGATTATGTAGATTTCCTTCCTATGTTATCTGGGATATCATTTTTGGATCACTACTGCAAGGGTTATTCACGGCCATTGTAGATCAATGTTTAAAAAATACTGTACAGCTGTGAAACAACTAGAAAATAGTGAAAAGAAGTGGCTCTAACTTGCTACTATTCGATGAGTCTCGCTTTTTTTTTACTGAACGGCATCGTAACGGAAGAAATATGTGCTTGAGGGTCTTTATTGGAAATGCTCTACTAGGTTCTGTTCTCTTTGCTCTGAGTAAAAAAAAACTGTAAGTTGCCTAGTTAAGCTAAATCAATGCAATATTATGTAATGGATAAAAACCTCGTTCATTCTTATGTAGAGGGTTTCAGCAAAAGAGAAATTCTACATAACGTTTGTCAATGCCCTGGATAGCTTTTCAAAATTGTAGCGCAAATAGTTTGTATGCTTACTTGATACTTGAGCAGCCCGTCCTCACTGGTTGTGCGGGCCCCAACATGATCTGTATTTTTTGGAGTTTTGCTGGTTTAGGTATTGTGTTTACCTGGAGTTCCGAGGTCAACCTGGCCGAACTCTGCTTCAGGTCCTCACCACCACAGACAGTCATAGCCCTTGTGGATCAGAAGGAGATTTGCCACCATGCCACTTTGATAGCAAGACGGTGGTGGATCCTGGTACTGCTTTACTCCTAGCCAGGCTTCTTGATGGAAACGCCGGTCTCCTTCTCAGCTTGGGAGACCCTGCCAGAGGATGCTGTACATCGCAGCCCGACACCCAGGAACACCTCCCAGCCACGATGAGGCGGTAAACCGTTAGGAGGGAATAGTTTGTATTGATAAACTAACTTCTTAATTTTCCTGGAGGTCTATTATTTTTCTGTTTTCCTAATTCCATAAATCGGTTAATCTATGTGGATTATAGAATAGAGGTGGTGGAAGGGTTTGAGGTTAGCGCGATGAGGTCACCACCATGGGTGATATTCACAGACCACGACTGTAGCCTATCGCAGAGCTATTTTCTATCTTAGTGTCACGATTAATCGAGAACAGCCCCTTCCTGCTAATTCCCAGCTCCATAGATTTCTACTCCATAAACAGTTGAAATTTGCCCAACTACATATGAAAGAAAACAGGTCCGTCGAAGAAAAAACATCAGAAAAGCGAAAAATACTAGATAAACTGTGAAGCAAGAAACATTTTACTACTTGCCACAGGATAGAGGTCATTTGCAGCACGAGATTCTATTTTTATGAGGAATTCTTTTGTCAGTTCAGGGTTTTCCTTCGTGGGATTCGACTGTATAAACGATATCCCGACTTAGATTTCTTAGAGTTTTTACTAATCTGATTTTTCGAAATAATGGGTCGAAAATCGTGTGAACTGCTTATGGGGACACTTCTGAAGACCATAAAGCTGCCCAAGACAATAAAGTTCTCAATGTGCCCCCTTTGAAATCATTGTAAACAGTAGCCTGTTGCTCTTTTTTCTTTGTCGCAGTACCTTTGAGATGTTGCTTGTATTTTCCAGATTAAAGATTGTGTGTGTCTTTTTTTCTGGCAACACTCAGCTGTTTTAAAATGGAAAATGATATCGAAGAAGGAACCGAAACGAATCAAATTCGATTCCATTCGATGTTCGGCATTCGATTTTACGTCTGCTTTGCTCTCCCGTCTTAGCATTCTGGTCAAATCGAAATGCTATAGAATTCCAAAGAAATTTGTGTTTACTAATAAAAATGTCGGAAGTGCAGTATAGTGAGTTTATTGGTTTTGTGTTGGTTCGACTCCGCATCGAGCCCACCACTCAGCCCTTTCATCACTCCGGGGTCGGGAAATCGGTGCCAGACTTGTCTGCGGGCAGTTGACTTCCTGTAGTTCGAGTGGGTACACTCTAGCCGGGCTATCCCAGAGATCCAGAGAGAATCGACTCAACCAGAATTCAACAATATTTATGATAAAGGCGAAAAAATTCTTGAGCGGCGGCTAGACCCGCGCGCGGAAAAGTTCGGGTAGTTTTCTGGTTGATGGATATTAGGAAAAATCGAATGCAGGAAGTGCTGAGATCTTTGTTTAAAAACTGATCGTGTGAAATAAAAAAGTTCTGTAAAACTTTATTTTTCACACATACACTGAGACAGACGTAGTAATACATTGATAGCCTAGATATTGTAGTAAAGTAGGCAACGGTAAGATTTTTGAACGTCTTGGTGACACTACCGACGGCCCTTAGTCAGACTGCGCCGAACTATCTTTAGGTTTTTTCAGCATTATGCTTTCATACTCACCAAATGCTGTTCGATTGCTGTACGTGACATTTAACCCTCGCTATGGCACGTTAAGAGCGCTATGAGTAATTCTTACTAGGTCACAGGGGGTCTTGAGACACTGTAAAATTCTTCGGAAAACGTCAACATCTCGAAAGAATCGGTCAGTTGGATTAGAAATGATAAGCATTTGTGATATTGAAGAGGAGCTAGACTGAAGCTAGCGAAATAAAATGTGGTGGAAAAGTGCTAAAGTTGAAAGCATAAGGATTAAATGAAAGAAAACTGAAGCTGGGAAATCAATATCGATCGATGTAATGAGCTTAAGGAAAGATTGGGCGCTTTTACATGATCAATAAAGAAAGCTACCTGCGACTTTTACTAGTCGATAGCTTGCCAAACTAAGTAAATGTTTCGATTTCCCACTATTTCTAGTGATTTTTTCATATACGCCTACTTAAAAGTCTATGTGAAAAATGGAAATAAAGGAGCTATAGCTAAATAAATAATAAATCATCAAGTATGCCTTCTTGCAGAATCTCATTATGTCGCACTCGCTTCGACGTGTCTGTAGTGTAATTGGTCGAGCACAACTTCATCAGGTTTGCCTTAAGTGATTACTTATTTGATACTTGAACGGCCTGTCCTCACTGGTTGTCTGGACCCCAGCATAATCTCCGCTTCTCGGAGATTTTCTGGTTAAGCCATTGTGGTTTCTTGGAATCCAGAAGTCAGCCTGACCAGTCTTCTCTAGGTCTTCACCACCACAGGCAGTCGCAGCCTTTCTGGATCAGAGGGAGATTTGCCACTATGCAACTTTGATACCAGGACGGTGGTGGATCCCTGTATCGGTCTACTCTTAGCTAAGCTTCTTAATGGAGACGCCGAACTCCTTCTCAGCTTGGGAGACCCTGCCAGGCGGATGAATCTCCCGCTGTACATCGCAGCTCCATCGCAACTTTTTCGAGGTGAATTTGATGAGGGTGGTGTTGCCGTAGTGTTCGACGAGTCTGTGAGCATTCTCAATCTACGACACCAGTGGAAATCTCTGCTGTACCCTGGTTCAGGATGAAGCTGTCCGGATAAGGCTAACAAGCTGGAGCTTTTATTAATCTTAAGAAAATAGATCTACTCAAAAAAACAAGTTCGACAAAATATTTCTCCATTTTTTTGCAGGTAGCCTATACGGCATTAGAGGCGAGCGGTCAGACATATCGACGACAGTGTCATGTTTTTCAGACGGACGTGATTCATCAGGTAATTCGAATGACCGAATGGCCGAATGATCGTCTCAGTCCTGTTCAAGATATTTCTTTTTATATATGACCTGGTTGTAAATATCCTAAGGGAATTGTCTACCGAAGTTTGGAAGAATTGTCTGGTGTTCAGAAATTCTGATTCTTGTCATCGAAAATCTTTTTGATGATTGAGATTAAGCCAGCTTATATATTCAGAATAAGGTAAAGTGCATACTATACAATATCGTCAGCTTACTTCTCCTATTAAAACCACAGTAGATTTTATGAATTTAGTGGAATTCGTAGCAAGTTTTCCTCTTTACCGTTCTCCGTTTTTGTCGTTTCACTTCTGCTCCCTTTCTCATATGGACTTTGCTGCTGTTGGGGAAGCATCCTACTACTCTTCATTGTAATCGAACGGTTTCCGGGAGGGAGATAGGCGTTTCGTTGCTGATGTGACTCGTCAGCGAATTGCAGCCAATTCTCGTCGTCCTGGTTTTCTTGGTTCGACCTTGTGAATGGGCGGCAACCATTCACAATCACTTTGGTTCTCATTAGATGAGTTGATCTCTTGGTTGCGAACATTATACCATTTTCGGATGAATAACTACATGATGTTCTTATTTTGTTGATTTTACTGATTGCCTTGGCTAAATTTTAAAAGCAGAATGATTTGAAGAAAAAAGAAGGATTTTGTCTAATGCATCCGTCATTTGGTATCGATTCGATCAGATGTCATCACCGCTTCGTTCCTGATTTCGGGGCTTCGCTATATATATGTGCATTGATTTCTTCTCATAGATTTATTGATTTCTCTTTTCACACATTACCCAGTTTTCATTGATCACCATCAATTTTCATTAGTTTCATGTTCGATTAAACTGCAGCCGTACTTTTGAGTGTTCTTTAATTGAAAAAGCAAAGAAAAACATTCTATGAATTCATTGTCGAGCACCATTGATCGATTAAGTAAAGAGAGCATTGAACTTTATTTCTTCGCTTTTCCTGGTATAGAACCATCCGAAGAGTGCAATCTGAAATCCGAAGGTTAATCCTACATGTAAGGATTCTCACCGCTAGGTATTGGACCGCTAGGTAAAAAGGCTAAGTGGGGCATTCCTCTGGTAACGGACAGGTAGTTGAACGAGGACCAAAAACAGTCATCCATTGTCCTAAATGTGTAGGTTGATCGAGGGCATAAATTGTCTTTTGGTTTGGCTTATATTTTGCGTGTACAGATATGCTCCCATACATCTGGATTCTATCGTGCGAGTGGATCGGATGGAAAGCTCTAATTAAGTGAGTGGGAACTACGTTAGAGGGTCAATCCAGGGTCGGACCCAAGACGAAAAACGCTGCATCTATTTTAAGAGAGTCAAACAAGTTAATCAGCCAAAAACAGATCTGGAGTTGCAATGGTCAGAACTCTATGAGCTACCCGTGGCTTACGTCTGCCAAAAGAGACAAAATAAGACATACGAAATTGTCCATCGTGCAAACGTCGGAGCTCATTGAGCAATGTTGGTGCAGTAACAGAGCGATGAGGAATTCCCTGCCGTTCGGTCGAGTTAGTCGTCGATGATAAAGGGCTTCTAGGTCTCAAGTCTGACGAAACCACATATTTTTCTCCTTTCTTCATTGTGGCCGCCACCACTCATCAATTTCATTTTATGATGACCTTTTTCAAAGCGCGAAACACCTGCCAAGTTTCGAGTTGACGGTTTAAAGTTCAGAAAAAAGGAGCGCTAAACTTCAATCGTGCGCAATAAGTTCAAATTGTAGTCTAATTGTGGAAGAAATTAGTCGCTTTGTAAACACTAAAACTGTTCATAATCCTTTTCCAAGCGCGTTTGAGGTGACCTGAAAGTGGAACCGCCTTTCTGAACGGTGAAAGTGAATGATTTGGTGAAACAATAACATAAATCCGACTACTTTCTCTGGTGTAAAATAAGTGATAAAGCACGAAATCAACAAGTTGCATGGCTTAAGAATTAAAGAATGCAAAAACGGCGAAGGGAGATTGACTTATGAATCCATGGACGTCAGCGACAGCATGGTTTGTCACTGTGTAAAGAATAGCGCCATGCTTTAAAAACAAGAATTTCTGGCCTTATTTTCGTCTCCAGTCTTTCTTCTTCGCAAACTTCTGTTACATTTCTTTTTAAATGAACAATATAACAGAACAACGAGTAGTATAATTTGTTTTGTGGTCTGTGGACCATCGGCTCTGATGAAGACGAGACGTCGAAACGTTAGTCGAATAAGCACCTGTATCAACCTCGTGTTATCTTATCATTATAAGAAAGTAGTATGATATTTGCAAAATTCCTTAGAATTACGAAAATCCTTGTATATGTGCCTTGGTGTCCATATCTTTAGTGTCGGTGTGGTTTCGTAGAAGATCGTTGTCTGGTGCATCGTTGTGAGTTTTTCGCGCTCGACCCGTTAACCATCCAGCCACCAGACCACGGCCACTCGTCCATCCGCTTTCGTAATGTGAAAATTTATTATGCGGCATCGGACTTTACATTTTAAACGATCAGCATCATTGACTGTAGTGATTCATTATACTTATCATAATAACGCTCAAATCTTCTTTTCCCACTTTTTTCCCTAATCATACATTTTCTCGCTTACCAGTTTCTTTGTTTTTCCTTGTTCTTTGTAATACCAGCATCGTTGTGCTATTCAACCACAATTCGTCAGCGCGTTAAGAAAGTGTTTTAGACTACAGGTATTGAAAAGAACAACTACGAGTCCTGCGACGAATACTGAAATTTCCGTTCGATTTTTCAATTTTCCTTGTCTGTCCGTCTTTCACGAAGAGCTCTTCAATCACTAGGCGTGAAATCTAACACTATGGAGTTTAGAGATGGAAGTGCAGCGATAAGGCTTTTTCATAGAATCCACAAAAAAAAGTGCGCAGTTGTTTACAAAACCTGCAAATTTAATATATTCGGGAGCTGTGACATCTTTTTTTCATTCTTTCTTAGGAGCTATTAATTTTAATAGCACTTCTACTTTGATTCTTAGATGGCCCATCACCACATATACTGATGAGTATGGCACTTCTATCCTTCAGTGGTTTTGCAACTGCCATTGGTGGAGGTGGTCGGGTCCATGTATTGGTTTGCCCGCGGCTTGGCGACAATGTGAATATTAATACGAATTATTTTTAATAATTGGCATTCTTCATTCATGAGAAACTATTTTATTGATTTCCCATAAGCGCCAAGAATTTTGCATGTTCGACGATCCGCTCATTTCGAAAGAATGTTCTTCCCAATACCAAAAACTAACGTTAACCTTTCTTGTATATGAATCTACTATTAGGTGAAGGAATTTTGCTTCATAGTTCGTACTTACGGCCATCCTTTTAAACATTCGAGCTCGAATATTCGAAGCATTCGACACTCCAATAATTTTGGAAATCCAAACTGGTAAGTATTACAATATTCAACATCTCTGTCACAATCCAAAGCTGTTGAATAGGCGCCGCTCACCAGGGAAACAAGAAATAATTTCATATAATTCCGTTTGGCTTGGTAGGTTTCATTTAGTACGCCTTCACAAAAATCATGGGCGCTATAGCTCATCGGTTGTTGTTGTGATATAGATTTCTTTATGGTCGAGCATTCGGATGGAAATGTGGAACTCGTTTTAGTTTGGCAGAAGGTTTTTGCGAACAGAAATATCCCGCTGTTCGTCGGACTTCGACACTCACAAGCAGTACTCCTACCCTTATACTCGATAAAGTGGCGTACTGTTTCTGCGATACGTCTGGAGATTTGGATATTTGTTGTCTTAGAAGTGTAAACTCAGTTATTCTGTTGTTTAGGTTCTTAATTTCCATAGATATTGTAGGCCGTCCCTCTTTTTTCAAATCTGAAGTCCTCCAACGCAAATGGGGTGTGTCTCTCTAGAGCAAAAGATAACTTCGACATTTATCTTGTTGCACTGGACCAAATAAAGTGCGAGAGCAATTCTGACAGCCGTTTCGGACGCTGTGGATGTCGAAAAGGCATCTGCCAGTCACTGTTGATGGCCAGCAGAGTGAAGCAGAGGTGGACGACTCTTTCAGTTGTCGGTGATCGTCGAAACTCTGACACCACCACCGCAACACTCTGCTCTCCACCTGTGCCATCACTGACATGCCGGCTATCAGTGCTTTCTGCTAAAATCTGCTCCACGAATTCGATCTAGACTTCGTTTCACGTCTTCTTGATAAATAACCTTTAAAGATTCTTCTGCGATTTTGGTGCTTTAAGTGTTTCCATGAACTTTATCCAAAGCATCAGTTACGATGTTTTCTATCATCATTAGAATAAGAGTAGCTTTACCAGACTTTCAATCAGTCGTAGAATCATGATTTTTGAGACCATTGATTCATTCAATCTCTTCAGCATCTGTGACGAATGGAATAATGATAACCTGCTGATGGCGTTGACTTGAGGGTCAGCAACCAAGTTCAAGTGGTGGCAGTTTAATGATAGGTTAAGTATTGCGTCACTGTAGTAGTGTCGGATAGAAAGTTACTGTATTCGTCCATTTTGTACTAATATATTTAATGTTTGTGAGTCCTTATTGAGGTCGAAGAGCATCTATGGACGAAAACCTCGTAAAATCTGTACTCTATAGAATGCAGCTTGGCGAAGAATGCTTTTAGGACTTTATACTTTTGTTTCCCGCGTCATTTGGCCGCCTTTTTCTTCATTGAAATGGGGTGTGTGTAGTAAATTTGTGGAATTCGATGATGTGGTGTCACTTCCGATAAGAGGACGGAAAGATGGGCACGTCGGCGATACTTTCGGATGCGAGCGGGAGCCACCGCATTCCGAAATGCGACGGCTTAATTTCGCCATTCGATCTGGCACTAAGATATGGGTGTCGTTGATGAATGAGCTGCGTCATACATGGATAACTGGAGTGACGCAAGAAAGGCTCATTCTGACTTTCAATCCCCCTTTTTCTATCATCAGTTCCTCCAGTAATATTGCATTATTTTTCATCCTAGCAGGATTATCTTACTCTATCAGAAAAAATTCGTTTTAGTGAAAACTGATTGTTCTCGGTACGTTTTCTTCCAATACTATAAACAGTATCTGCTTTCACTTTTGATAACATCGAGTGTATTACTTGTTTAGATTGATTTTACTACCTGTTTAGATCACTTGTTATCTGGGTGGCAAATTTTATGTAAACAAAATATTTATTGATTTGTTTTCGAAAACATGCCACCAAGAACGTCATGAATAGGACGTAGAATAAACAGAAATGATGTGGAAACTTTTCAACATCTCGTTCATTTTTTTTCCTGAATTTTTAGCTTCTCGTTCCGTTTCTCCCGATTTTTTGGCATTTCGTTTCTTTTTTCCTAAATTTTTGGCATCTCATTCCTTTTCTTCTGAATTTCTACCATCTCGTTTATTTCCTCTTGACAAGTGAATCCTAGCATAAAACGCACTGAAGAGTAGCAATTAAAATAGCGGAGATTCGCATTTTTCTATGTACGTGTAGTTGAGCAGCAGCTTATCTTCTTATGCATGTGTTTTCCTCTTAGTTTAAAACATTTCAGGTGGAAGAGATTGAATCGGTGCTGGGAAACGCGTTTCAAGCTGCCATTGTCGCAAAAACCAGGCCACCGTCACGTCCGATATCGATGTCTACTCCGTTACCGGTACTTCTTTTTCATGTTTCTTGTTGTTCGTCACCTAGTCACCTGCCTGGCGTTGAGCACACCATTTCGATATAACGTGAATTTTTCTATGCTTAGGAGTGCGAATATTTTCTCTTAATCTTATTGGCGAATTACTGAAATGTAGATGTATAAACGGATCGATAAATCCGTTTGAACTTGTCCAGAGATTTGTTGCTCTTGACTGACTCCAGATTGATGACTTATCCAGTTGCTCCAGATTGACTTGTCGAGCGATAAGTGCGATAAAAGATGTGGTAATATTATCTTAAAACTAATAAGTCTTAAAGGAGCGTATTCTGTTGATGAGTCGTGATTTTTCTCTTTGGAGTTTTGTCTTTCATAAAATCATTACAGTAAGAAATCAATATATGTGATGGTGAGTGCAGTGCAATATGCCAAATCGCTGACCCCGGAGGAATGGAAGGCTTGGTGGCCCATGGACACCGGGATCAACTACACGTGTGTTGCAGGGCGCCTCCGACCACTCCGCCACACGCACCCTTCTCCTGAATACACAAATAAAGCGATTCATTGATAGTTTAACGTCTAACATTAACTTGAGCGAACCGGAATGAGAATGCTGTTACGCTTGTCATTGATGGTGTGCTTCTGAGCGCTGTTTTGTCAGTCGGTGTGTTTTACAGTAGGATGACTGCTCCCACCAGACATTGGCTCGGTTGCTGTTGTTGTTCATTCAGCACTACCACAAAGACGTTTGCCAAACATATTTACGACGTCAAGGTCGTAAACGACGTCTCTAATCGCTTTACAAGTGGCCGATCTATGACGATGATGCTGACGATGATGGCAGTTCGCACGCGTTTCGGTGTGCCAGATGTGTCTCGGATTTTTTATGCGGTTGCAGTGCCTGCCACACAATAGAGGTCAAACTCATTTGGACTCTCGGTTAGGACCCGAATAAATAAAGATATTGTGGGAGTCGCAATGATCTCTGAGAATGCACAATGATCTTAGTTCTCTTAAAAGATGTCATCAAGCAGTTTTCGTTACTTTCACAGAGGTGTGCTGCGGTATACGTATGTTTCTTCGTTCGAGCATATATCTAAGGGAAGGAAGCTGTCCATCACTCCGGTGTCGGAAATTTGCTACCACTCTGGAAAGATAAAAACACTGACTTGGTGCGTCCGTGGGCCTTTGGAAGTCGTGGTTATTCAGTCAACCACGGGAACGTACGCATGCAATCGAGTCCATATCGTGTCCCTAATGGACTGATCAATGCTAGGGTGTAGTGAACTGGAACCGATAGACTACATTCGTATTCGTTGTGCACTCTCTGGTCTCTGCTGGCTCAGGAGAAACGATAAGGGTGATTGCTAGTGACACTGATCGATAGAACTAACAGAGAGACAGACGAAACGAAGGACTCGCATGGTGTGGCGGTGAAAGCGTTAGTCCTCGGAAATGGCAATAGCGTGTTCGTTACTCGCCGCAGACATCTGCTGTCCGGAGTTTTGCAAATATCTCAGCATCACTGTGTTATATTCGCAGGTTGTTTGCTAGGATTGCCATGACATTCTATTGGTTTATTCTTTGCTGAGCTTTCGGAAATCTCGAACTTCTTCTTAGCATGGGTAAACTGGGGAGGTTATCTCCGCTGTACAACTTTCTCCGACACTCACATGCACTCTTGTGAGGAGGTGATAAGTCAGTGGAGGATTATTGAGGAAATTATTAGCACTAGTAGCACTAGGATGAGATTTAGTATAACACTGTTGCTCTCGCGGTTGAAAACTTAGTGAAGGTATTAAGAACGTTGTAAGAAAGTATTGCTTTAGAAATTTTTTTTTGTTATTAATTATTGAATAGCTTTTCGTACCACACAGTAAAATATTTTTGTAAATCAACTGTTTCGTTTTAGATCCCACCTCTTCCTAAGTCCGAAAAACGCGCTTCATCCACCGCGTTTATGTCACGTCTGCTTGGCAAAGGCAAAGAAACCATAGAAGAAAAATCGAAAAGGTCTAAGATTATTAGTCTTTACTACTTTTTCTTTCCTACTTCGTCTAATTAAAAAACCAGTAAGGATTTCCACTAAACGATCTGAAAGTTATTCTTTCAATGGTAAGCTTACACGAGGTTGGTAAACAACTTTATTCGCCAACGTTTTGACGGTGGATGTTTATAATAGTGATTGTACGGTGATAACGACTTGTTTCTTCCTGACAATCCTTCGTGCAGGAGTCGGTATCATTCTCAGCTAGCATTCTAGTATAACAATATTCTATGACCGGCTTTTTTTTCCTCATTAGAGAGGTGCTCTACCGAAGGGGATTCGACGCGATACGAAAACGAAGACGCCATATCGAGACGACGAACAAAAGACGAAACCGTCGAAAGGTTAGCCGAATAAAGCTGTTTATTAGCCTCGTGTAAGCTTATCGATAAAGGAATAAATGTTGGTTAATCATGCTGAGGTTAAAGGAAGGTCGGTTTTGAGATATTGTTATGATGTGAACAATTTCCAAATTCTCAGCGTAATTGCAGAAAACGACGACCTGTTAGTGCAGTGTTCTCAAGCGCCATTCATCGACTATCCTCTACCACTTCGGTGGCAAATAAAAGAGTAAGGCTTTATTCTTGATAAGTATTTAAAATGATATCATAATTAAATAGATGATGATTTTTGGTTTTTATCCTTTCGAGCAATTAAAAGCTTAGCTTGCGCTCTGTGCTCTTAGCAAGATCGCTAAGCCACTATTACCACAATTGACGGCTTCATAACCATTTAAAGCATAACGGATTATGCTCGGAGATTGGTGAATTAATTAAGAAAATTAGGGTTTTAATGAGACAAATGGTCAATCGTCGACAGTTTTTATTTTTTAAATCGATTTTTGAGGATCCGCATATTTCTCTAGAAGTTTTATGGGTGTTTTTAAGGTTCTGTTCCCAAACAAGTGAGTTAGCTCATTTTTCATGTTGGTGTAAATGTATGGGTTCGGTGGTGATTTGACAAACTGACTGCTTTTCTTCTTTTTCCAGTTTGTTTTTGGAGTCGAGTTTTGGGGAGCTACGTTCTTCTTCGAAGATTCTGGAATCTTTTAGCTCCCAGAGGAACATCCAAATATTAGTACAGAGACTATCTATTTGGCAAAAAAACCAGGAGCAGGTTGAAAGTGTTTTGACATCCCTTAGTCTCATAATCACTCAGAGATCTTCTTACTAATTTTATGCGAGCCGTTCCTCTATAATTCTACGGCCGGTTGTGAGAAATCGATCAAACAAATGAGCGATATTTTTATCTCACGGGAATGAAATAGATACAATCAGTAATTATTGGAACAAAAGACTTACTCTGTTGCAATATTGCATTTTTTTTATTTTTTACTTTATTTGATTCTCGCATTCGATTTATTTTTTCGCATTCATCGTCCACGAAGGTCTTCCAAGTTTTTACGCGTAGGTTCGGTTGCTGCTTGATGATTTTCATTTCATCCTGAATGTCGTAGAATGCCGGGCGAGCAGTTCTCCCTGGGGTCCTGAGAAGCCGAGCTGGAGCGTTCCCAAATGGATTGCAGAGAGTGATTGTTTCCCAGACAAGTGCAGTACCATTCTCCCGACCGCGGAGGGATGAGAGGCTCGGTTGGGTCGAAGCAGAATCGAACTAACACCATGCTCGTGATCAAGGACATTACTGCCACTGCGCTATCCGCCCTCTTTTATTGCTGTATTTTAGCAGATGTAATTTTCACACAGGAAGAGAGATTTGGGTCCTTGTCGTTCGAACTTAGTTTTAGTTTTCCTAAAAACATTAACAAAGAGACCGTTGGTTGGTGTCGGAAATTCCTGGAATTTCGCGGCTGTCTACGTTTCCAACTCCATTTTGATCGGTTGATAGATAGATGTGAGTGATCCGCTTGCGTAATGCCTAGAAGATTAACTCTAGTGTCCTTAACTTGGATTACTTTTTTGAATAAATTGAGTTCATTGCGTCATTTGGTGTGGATGACACCAATTGTGCGTCTGGTAAATTTTAACAGCACAACTGTTCCTTATCGTAAACAACCACCTGTTAAGAAGTTTTCGTGCCAAATTCACGTAGTTGTTTTAACGCTTCCATTCAAAGTGTTTAAAAAACCTTGTTTTTCTATCAGAAATATTGAAAAGATCTTTAAAACCGTTATTAAGTTGTCTAAATTTATTATAAATGTTATTAAATTGCAGTGCAATGAAGCTATTTAACGTCGGGGATAAACTAGCTGAGAGACAAGCGAAGTGAAGGACCCACATGATGTGGTGGTGAACGCGTTAACTCCCGGAAAGGTTAATGGCGCGTTCGTTCCCCACCGCAGACATCTGCTGGCCAGAGTTTTGCAGATATCTAAGCATCATTGGAGTTGCTTCACAAGTAATATTTTGTCGTGAAAACTTGTAAAAGGCAGTAAATAAAAGGTTAACATTAGGGAAAAAGTCAAAGTTTTCCTTTTCGTTGAGCGATTACAAGCCCTACATTCAGGTAATACAGACGCGCTACGATTTTAATTACTGTAATTTTTAAAGCGGCTTCCAGCGTACTTCTTGCTTTCTTTACTTTTTTTTGCAGGGTGTTTCCTCAGCGCCTTATCTTTACTTTGTTCCCTCTGCTCACTTTCCTTCACTTCACTTAGCTTTTACTCCGTTCCGTTTGATCTTTTCGTACATGAATGAAAATCATTAATAGTTCAGAGTAACTCAATCTTCATTCCATTGATGCATTCTCTCATATTCTTCACTTTGTTTTTATGCATTCAAAAAATCCGCTATTTTACCGTATGCCGATTTTCATTATCCCTTGCAATCTGTTCCGCAACCTGTTTAACCTACTTCGTACCATTGTTTACATAAGTTCAAGAGGGTACACCATAAAGAACACTACAAGTGCCTTCCTTGGAACAATTCGACCGCCTTTTAAGTGGTCAGTCAGAACAGAAATCAATCCCACCGTGTTAATGAATCGATAATTATGAAGCAGAACAGAGCAGGAGATTTAAGACACAGCCGACAAACGAGTATTTTCTCAATGTCATAGGTAGAAAGATTTCCAACTCCACCCTGTTGCTATAGTTTTACAAGCTCTTCAGTATACTTGATACTTGATACTTGAATGTCCCGTGCTCACACTGGTTGTGCGGGCTGCAGCATAATCTCCGCTTCTCGGAGATTTTCTGGTTAAGCCATTGTGGTTCTCTGGAATTCCTAGGTTAGCCTGGCCTAAGTCTGTCCCAGGTCTTCACCACCACAGGCAGTCGCAGCCCTTGTGGATCAGAGGGAGATTTGTCACTATTTGCCGTTGTACTATAACTGTTGGGAGTGTTCTTCATTATTCCAGTGGTTAGACAAAACCGTGGGACCGGCCGACTAGAAGTGGGGAAATTCAACTTTCTTTAACAATTTTAATATAGAGATTTTTCATTAACAAGGAAGTGAACTCCTTCCTATGTCACTACCTTTATTTCAGTTTTTTCTGTTTTTTTCCTTGTGGTTTTTAAGATTTTGGTAGATAGTGATAGGAACTACAGTAATTTCTGTGTTTATTGATCAGTAGGCTCAATGGAAACGAAAAATCTAACAATCCATTAGTGATAAATGGTGTGTAAGAATAAGTTCTCATTATTAATTACGTGTGTAGCGAAGTGGTTGGAGGCGCCCTGCAATACACATGGAATCGATCCAGCGCTCCAGGCTCACCAAACCTTCCATCCCTCCGGGGCCGGCAAACTGGTAGCATACTTCTTCTCTAGGAACATAGCAGTAGTGATTCGATACATCGATACGACACCACGAGACAATATTATAAGCCAGCTATGCACACCGTCACCTCTAACGATGCTTAATGAAATACAGTGCATGGTGCAACCTTCAGAGATTGATTAACGCCGAGAGCTTTATCCTTTATCTTTTGTCGTTTATCCTTATTAGTTATTAGTCGTAGCTTTAATTCAGCTGTCCGTCTTGCTCAGCTCGTCCGTCCGAAAGTCGTCGATATTGTTCTGGTAATTTGACCAATCGATGGCATCTGATCCCATTAACTGAAGTCGGTCAATGACTGGTGATGTTGTTATCGTTTCGTCAGTAGATCATCCAGCTCGTCACTTTCCCTTCTCAACGACGGGACGCGTTGCGCAAGTGCTGCATGTGTGCTACGTGTCACATAGCCTTGTATGAATAAGTGGGAACATGACGTTTGGACGAGTTGCGTCACATTGGTGTCATAACGGAAACGCGACAATACGCAAGCGGGCGTAATATTTTCGATCAGTTCATGCAAAGTACGCACAATACTAGGGTGGGAATACTCGAAAAATGCTACTTGAATAAAGAACGAAATGAAAAGTGAGTTAAGGAGAAATGTCATTCAAAAACAAATGAAAACTTCGACGATGCGAAACAATGGGAAGAAAATCTCGGCAACACGTCAAATATTGCAGAAAAATGATTTATTCTGATAAACTGGTAACGCGATCAATTATGGACGAGTTGCAGAATGTTTGGGCGAGTTTTTCTTACTCCGAATTTGAGACTCTTTTTATGAATTTGAGCTTCTCACTAGCTAGATAACTGTGAGTACTCGAACTGTGGAACCACAGAGAAAATTACCCAATAGTAGTGGAAAATAGTCAGGAATAAATGGAAATGGGCCATATTTTTATTAAGCAAAATAAAGGTCTTAACGTTGATCAATCAGTGAGGGATGTGCCATGCATTCGACTTCATTAAGCATCGTTTGGAGTTGATTGAATGCATATCTGGCCTTTACAATGACTCGCTGTGGCTACCGATGTATCGAACCAGAGCTGCTACCCTCCCAGACAAGCCTGGTACTAATTTGCCAACCCCGGAGACATGGAAGGCTTGATGGACCATGGGCGCGGAGATCGATTCCACGTGTGTGTTACGGCGCGCCTCCGACCACTGCGCCACACGCGCTACAATTCTTTTATTAATGCAAATAAAGGAATAATTTTATTTAAATATGGTTGATTTTTGCTTCAGGTTTGATTTCCATTGATGTTCTGACTTGGTTGTATAGAAGATAATGCGAGAGTGTGCGAAAAAAATTTAGCTGGTTAAATTATGTCCAAAAATTTTTGGCAATTTTTGCAAGAGAATCAGATCATCGAGCATAATTGTAGATTTATGGATGTTTTATGGATTTTTCTGAATCGAAACAGGTTTATTAACAAGTAGACTTTATGTGAAATCAATCGATTGGTCTACTCTTCTTGCACTACCTATATCACTATCTTTCTTTCAGGTGAGTAGCGTCGACTCGCCTCCACGTAAGGATTTGCGACGCGAAGAAGCTGTTGCGAAGATATGCTCAGTAAGCAATTTTAAGTTTTTTCCAGATTGCTTATCTATTGTCTCTTTTTTGGGATCGTAGAATTATCTAGAATTAGAATTATTCCAATTATCTTTCTGCTATCAGTTAGTTCCGGAGGAGCCACCAATTCCGAATAAAAACAAACCACCTCCTGCGGAGCCAAAGCTTGTTTATGACGAAAAATTAGGAGAATGGATCTATCCAGTTGATGATGCACTTCAAGCTCAACTGGAGAACGTCAACTACTTTGTGAAATTGCCTTCAAGGTGAGCCAACAACTCCAGTGTGATCTTTTCAAGCAATGTAAAACTGGAATCTCCTCTTACATGGAGGAATTTTGAAAGTCCATCATTGTCATATTTCTCGTAAGTTCGTCAAATGCTCCTTTCTTTTCTCCTACGTTTCGTTGTTAAATTCGTGCTGATGTAAATTTAATGAAGGTTACAATCACTTCATAGATTTCTCTGTTAGATTCAAATCTTCCAAGTGCCTGGTGTTTATACCTACATCACGCGCGATCTTTCTTTAAATGGTTCCCTCAGTTCATCTCTCTTCATCCAATCATTTTTCTCATTTTTTCTTCTCTTCTTATTCATCAGCTTTAAATCTGCCATAACGCCATGATTTTCTTGTCAGAAAAGTCTGTGGACGGCATCTTCTTTCTTCATTTGTTAATGCGGAAAAATACCTAGGAAATGACTGCATCATTGCCCGATGTAACACCGCCGGCTTCCGTCGTTTCGTTTGAACTTTGAGAACTTTCCAGCCGAGTGCGTTAATTGCTTCAGATGTGGTACAATTAGTGAGCAATTAAAGTGGTCCGATAATTGAAGTCATTGCGGGTCAACTGAACAGCTGCATGACATGAAAAACACCGCACTAGGCAAATACCCACACACCCACATACCGGTCTGTCGCTTTAGGAAGCGGGAAGACTACAGGAAACGGAAGACGACAACATTTGAGCAACGAGCGTCCAACAGAAGAAACGGACATCGAGCGTTGAATTTTATTCGAAAAAACTGAATTTTTCATAGCACATTTTTGCTTTACTTTGGAGGCGTCTAGCACTTATCGATTTGGTCATTTTTGAACCTTATCACTACCGAGCGGTTAGCGAGCACCTTTATCACCGTACCGTATCTATCCACGCCATGAATATTCTTCATGAGAAGGTTAGCAATATTTTTATAGTGGCCTCATTCATAAACTAAATATCAATTGATTTTCTTCGTATTTTGTTGAGCAAACGCGTGGTGTTACTATTCCTTGTTCACGATTAAGCTGACGTTTCGGCGGATTTCGCCTTCTTCAGAGCCTGGAAAGGTCAAGTTGATAGCAATCCACTCGGCCAGACGCCTCCATAACCAAACAAAGAAACTCCAAACCAAGATTTCAATCACTTTGAACACAGCTTTGCACACTCACCGCTTTCAATGAGGTTTCCACTAAGTATGTCACGTACAGACCAACCGCACAGAAATCACGTGGAAGTATAATGTGTCCAGGGCATTATCGGTTTGGTCATGAGTATAGGGCAGTATATAAAACTGCTTTTCTGATGTGAGGGGCACATTATACTTCCACGTGATTTCTGTGGGGTTGGTCTCTACGTGACATACTTAATGGAAACCTCATTGAAAGCGGTGAGTGTGCAAAGCTGTGTTCAAAGTGATTGAAATCTTGGTTTGGAGTTTCTTTGTTTGGTTATGGAGGCGTCTAGCCGAGTGAGTTGCTATCAACTTGACCTTGAAGGCTCTGAAGAAGGCGAAATCCGCCGAAACGTCAGCTTAATCGTGAACAAAGAATAGTAACACCTCGCGTTTGCTCAACAAAAATACGAAGAAATTCACTTGATCAATGCCGAGGTTAATAGAAAGTCGGTCGTGGCAGTTGCTGAGATATTTGTAAAACTCCGGACGGCAGCTGTCTGCGATGGAGAACGAACGCGCTATTGTCCTTTCCGGGAGCAACGCATTCACTACCACACTATGCGGGTCCTTCGTTTCGCCTGTCTCTCAGCTGCTCCGATTTGGGCTCCCTAAATCAATCCCGTTGACGGCCGATTGCTGATGACGCCGATCAATAGAACTAGCTGAGAGACAGGCGAAACGAAGGACCCGCATTGTGTGGTGGTGAACGCGTTACTCCCTGGAAAGGACAATAGCGCGTTCGTTCTCCACCGCAGACACCTGCGGCACGGAGTTTTGCAAATATCTCAGCACCGTTGAAGTTATATTTTCCAATTGGTGTCATTTTCAAAAATTCCTTCCAATCATTTTTTCAGTAATTTGTTCTAATACCGTTTCTGGTGGGAGCGTCGTACCAACCTCGAACCTCAGACATTTTTTTTCAAACACATCATCGTTATCACTTTTGAAAGCAATCCAAAATAAAAACGGTAGCAGTAAAAATTTTAAAAACACTTTTTACAAAACGCACAACTTGTAAGAAAGTTACTGCTTAGAGAAGAGGTCACATTAGTTATTGCAACACCACACCACGATCCACGAGCGATGCCTTCATTTCCAAATATGTTTAAGTCTTTCTTTAAAATTCTATATATATAAATTTTTGTAATCAAACAATAATGTTAAGGAGCAGTGAGTGGAAAAACGAACAAAGAGAAATTAGTGCAGTCGACAAAGAGGAAATCGTACGGACGAGTTGGTGGCACGACTGTTCATCACGCCGTCGAATTCGATCCATGGGAGCGCGTCGGATCACTATAAAGGAAGATATTACGTAAATCCACACATACATAAACATATATATATACGCCTTTTTAGTTGATTGAAATTATGAAAGGACTAATTAGTTGGTTACGGTGTAGACGTATTGATTAAACTCACGTAGCACGACAACTCGTACTGTATTACGGTGGCGAACAATTGTTATTTTTTTCTAATTTTGATGCCAATTAAGCCAAATTATTTCCACCATTAACGTCCTTTTGAGTGACAGACATTGTATAGGCATCATTGTTGGTAAATTGGTCATGATCTTCCTTGCTGCACAGCGTTCTAGAAAACTCACTACAGTATCCTAGAATAATATATCCGTAATATAGTAACCCAAACGTCAGTTGTGTACTATATTTTATATCACTAAATATTTGTTACGATCTAATCACATTGTTAGTGACTGATCTGGTTTCCCGACCAACAATACTTGTTTCTAATCGTAAAGTTGATGGATAGAATGATGTATAAATATTGTTTACAATAGGATCAAAGCCTACTTTTTGATCAGCGTCCTGAATTCTCTTATTCGAAGATAGCAAAGTGGCTGAAGAAGTGAATGAAGCGAAATGAAGAGATAACAGATATACTTTAGATACAATAAATCAAGTCGACGATAGTCATTTGATATTCTGAAAAAAAAACCGTGACAACAGCACGATGGTTCCAGGAATGTGATGAATCTATTAATGAGAAATAATTGGTGAAAAGTGGGCGTGTGGTTTAGTGGTCGGAGGCGCCCTGAAACACACTCGTGGAATCGACCTCCGCAACTGTGGCTCAATAAGCCTGCCATCCCTCCGGGTCTGGCAAGTTGGTACGAGACTTATCTGGGAGTATACAGCACTAGTTCGATATATCGGTAACCCACCGCGAGTCATTGTAAAGGCCAGATAGGCATTCAATCACCTCCAACGATGCTTAATGAAGTTGAATGCATTGGGCATCCCTCAGGGATTGATCAGCGCCAAAAGTTTTATCCTTTTTTAATTGGTGAAAAAATGCCCAAAAAAATGAATGCTTGCTCACATGGAAATGTAAATCTTGCAAATTGATTCGGATCAATTTCGCTCGGAAAAATAGGCAAAACATCAGTCGAAGTCTTCTATTAACCTTGTGCTAGATTATCAATGAAAGAGGATATAAATTTTAGTTCCTAAGGTGATGAATCACCTTTCTTAACTCTGGTGGACTTTTTTGTATATTCTTGTGAGCCTTCAACTCCAGCAGAACAAATACTTAGCAAAGCTGCCATACGAAAAATCGAAACATCCGATGTCTTCATTTTCATGTATTCGACAATATTCATAATGAAAGTTTTTATTATTTTTTATTTCGTACGGTGCGCGAGAAGCATAGTGTAGAGATGCCATTCAATGGGGGGACGCCACTGGTTCGACCGAGCCCCCTGATCAACCAAACCTTTCATGCCTCTGATGTCAGAAAACTGGTGACGGACCTTTCTGGGAAGCTCCCTCTAGTCCAGAAAGGTTTATGGCTGCATGTGTTATGACGACTTACCTTAGACGCCCATCCCAGCATTCCAGGTAGAATCGACTCGACTAGCATTTGACGACTTTTATGAACCAGACGAAGGTTCTCATGCAGCAACTAGACTCACAACTAAATCCGAAAACCTTCGCGGACGATTAGATAGGGGGAAGAGCGGGAATTGCTGGGAAGGGCAAATGATTTATGCAGGATCACGTGGAAAAATCTGTACCGCACGTCTCCAGATAGGGTTAAGCATGAGGTAAGAAGTATAAAAGTTGAAAAAAGAATTGGCAGTAAATGAAAGTTGAAACATTGCTGACATGATGCTTTTTATTTAAAAAGCTAAGAATTCCTGTTAAGCACAACTTACTCGCTGATGTTGACAAGCATAAGTACTTGTATGGTCGCATAGGCAGTTAAATAAACACTGTAGATACCGATCACAGTACCGATGACTACAACATATTTATGTCGTTTCAGTATATGCCTGTTCTCAAAACGTCGATCGCCTGAATGAATTGGACACAATTCATGGTCGATTAAAGTAAATTTAGACCTAGTTAGGGCAACAGATTTTTTGTTCCAAATGGTCCACATTTTGCTTTATTTCACATTCCTCCGCTATTCTTCGCTTCTTTCCTGACTTTCCAAAAACGCCTTTTCCAAAACCGAGGAAAAATTCATTGAAAAGATAAAACGTTTTGAAGCATTTTAGGCAACCTCCATATAATGCGTCCAATAGTGTACCACCCCGTCGTGGCTTTGAGGTGTTAGAGTGCAGGACTGCGAAGTACTCCCGGAGTTCATCTCCCAAGCAGGTTTTCACAAAAGCCTCACAAGCTCAGAAGAAGTCTGACGTTCTCAGCTTAGAGTAAACCAACACCAGAGAACACCATCGTTTTGGTATAAAACTAGTCTCATGATGGACAATCCTCCTCTGATCCACAAAGGCGGCGACTAGCTGGAGTGATCCTGAGGAAGGCTTCGACTAGGCCGGCCTCGGAACTCCAGAAACAACAGTGCCTAAAGCAGCAAATCTCCGGAGAATGGAAATTATGCTGTAGTCTGCATAACCAGCGAAGATAAACCATCCAAGTGTCCCGGTAATTATCCTTATGATGACGCCTAAACGTCATGTCAAAGTTGTTAAAAATGCTGATCTATGGCTCTTCGATAGGAAACCATCACAAATATCATCGAAATATAACTCGTATGAAATGCTGAGATATTTGCAAAACCTCGGACCGCAGGTGCATGCACTGGGGAGCGAACACGCGCTGTTGTCCTTACCGGGAAGCAGCGCACTTCACCACTACACCAACCGGGTCCTTCGTCTTGCCTGTCTCTCAGCTAGTTGTACATACACCTGCGGTCCGGAGTTTTGCAAATATCTCAGCATTTCATACGAGTTATATCTCGCAACATACCCTGCCATTAAGAAGAAAAAAGCAGTAAATAAAAGGGATACGATCATCGAAATAATTCAGAAAACGTTTTATTAAAATATTACATTAGCAATAACAATATAATACCAGCCTTTACTGTTTTCAAAAAATTGAGACTTTAACCTTCCAAGAAATCTTTCTTATTTTTTCAGATTCTTAAAGATACTGTAAATGTGGTTTTTGCTTTGTTTCTGCTGTTTCATATAGCGGCTCTATACCAAAGAAAAAAAAGTTGATCTTTGAGGTATCTTTTCGCCATAGTTCGCATTTTTTCATTCACCTTCATCAGACTGAGTCTTCAGATACTCCAATTCTGCAGTTTGTTTGACTTCAGCTTTTACCATATGGGAAACAACGCTGTAAAAAGTAATTGTTTACGATCATAACCTAATAAAATTAATGAAGGAGCTCTACGCAAAGGAAATTAAAGGACTGCTCTCACCTGAACAGAATACTGTAGGAGTAGGCGGTGACAGCTAGGCAAAGTAAACAAAAGACAACTAGACCCAAATGATAAATGAATTGTGAGGAACTCGATGTTTGTAATCGATGAACACATGATGACATCCAATTGGCTGTAAGAAAGGAAAGTTGTCTTAATTAAAAAGTGTTATGAAGGGCTTCTAATCGAGCTTTCAACACCTTTCGTCTCAAAAGTTATAAAAACAGCGCCATGTAAAGCCTCCGAGGTTTTCAGGACTTTTCCATACGAAAGCTCCTAAGTTACAGGCAAATTCTTTGTTTCTTTTTCTAATTTGTAAAAGAAGAAATGGCGGAATCTCAATGAGACGAAGGCACCGTTTAATTTATGTGACAATTTTTTTGGGTGTTTCAGTATGAAAAGATGGTGATGATTTATGGTACTAATTTCCTACGTAAGTGAACAACTATTTGTTAATTCCTCGGAAAAAATTTTTTTCGCTTTATGAAATCTTAAAAAAGGTAGAGAAAAATTGGACAAAAAGGAGAAAAAGGACTTTTTCCTATCTACTATATTCATCAAGAAAGCAGAACCGCCACCGGTATTTCTATTCGGAGGCCCCGTTAATACAGACCAGCACTGAGAATTGTGCTATTCAATTTTCTAATTTTTTTTCAATTAAAAAGCTTAAAGGTACCCGGTGTAGACTAAACCTTTATGCATCGGCCATGCATTCAAGTTGATTCGTCACATCATAGTTGTGAATGGCTTGTCGGGACCCTACTGATGGACTAAGCCGGTATTTTTATCATCCCAGACAAGTACAGAACCGGCTCGTCGACCCCGGAAAAAATATGGACTTGCTTTGGCCAATGGACTATATCAAATCGAGGACCATCTGCAGGGTTCTGATCCGAATTTCGAAATTCGAAAATCGAAATTCGTACCGATTGCTGGGCACCTCTTAGCACGGTGCTATATGCATCACGGTATAACAAACTTATCACCGATTCGTTGCTATAATGACTGGCTGGAAACTCTCGGATGACGGATTTTTCAGAATCCTAATGAGAAAGAAAGAAACCTGCCCAATCAGCGATGAACTTTTAGTAAAAAGGAAAGCTGCGCAAGGGAGGCACGAACATTTTAATGACATTCCAAAAGCTATGTTACCGAGTAAAATTTCGAAGAAAATCAGTAACTAGTATTGGAGAGTTGTTTGTTAATTGGTAATCGATTGTTCTTCTGAGAATTTAGTAGTTGAAAGACAGTTTATTCCTTTACCGTCCTTATCGCATTCGTCATCGATCCATATGTTACGATTTTGAAGACCAACGATCATTTTAGCAAATGTTCCCACAGATGAAATTATCCAAATACAAACAATCACAAGCACAACTCGCTTTCTGAAACTTTCTGAGTCAATGAGAAATTGTAAAAAATACACAGTATTTACAATCTTAACTCTTTTTATTTACTGCCTTTTTCTTCTTAATGGCAGGGTATGTTGTGAAATATAACTCGTATGAAGTGCTGAGATATTTGCAAAACTCCGGACCACAGGTGTATGCAGCGGGGAACGAACACGCGCTGTTGTCCTTACCGGGGAGCAGCGCACTTCACAACACAGTATTTAATCCACTATGTTTCCCAAAAGCAGAATTGCACATTGTAGAGGAACGAGAAGAAAACACGAAGACTTTTTTGTTTATCAACCCCGTGTAAGTTTATCAAAGAAATAATACATGTTGATTAGTATTACTGAGGTTAAAGCAAAGACGGTTTTGAAGTATGGTTTTTGCTCTTTGCTAGCTGATAATGATACCGACTTCTGAAGGATTGATTGCCCAGGAAGAACAAGTCACTATCACCGGACAATCAGAACTATCAACCATCAACATCCTGCACAAAAAGGCATCACCGAGTGAGTGCCCCTCATTCGAGAGATGGTCCGCCGAGTTAGACACAACTCAATGCGAAGGCGTAGACGTCACATCGAGACGAAGAAAAACCGTGAAGTCGGATCGTAGGTTTTGATGAGGATACGTTAGCCGAATAAAAATTGTATATAAACCTTGCAAAAGTTTGTCAAAGAAAGAATACATTTTAACTAGGACTTTTGATCAAATTATCTAACGAACATGTAAAAAGTGGCATTGTATATTAAAAACCAGGAAGTTCCACGATATACAGCTATACATTTATTCTACAGTTTCAGCTTAACTATGTTCAACGCCAATTTGTGCTCCCCGATCAATCCCATTGAAGGGTGACTGCTGATGGCATCCAAGGATTGAAACACGGCTGAGAGTGAGGCGAAACGAAGGACTCGCACGGTGTGGTGGTGAAAACGTTAGCCCCCGCAAAGGGTAGTAGCGCGTTCGATCCACACCACAGACACTTGCAGTCAGGAGTTCTGCAAATATCTCAGCATCGTTGTGCTTCTTTCACATGATACCCTTCTATGAGGCTGCCAAAAAAGGGCCCAAATTACATTTTTTTATTTCCATTTTTAGGAAAAATCCTTTTTTTTCACTTATTACTAGTCAGGCACCGAGCTATTCTGCTCGTAATCAAATCTGCCCGAGTTTTCTCATTCATAAACTCTCTTGATGCTTGTTGGACGTTGTCAATGGAGAATTCCTCGTTTCTTCTCTATTCAAAATATCCGAAATCATTTTTGAAGGTCACCGAACCTCAATAAAGTGCAGTAGGGAATCTCACTAGCTGTTTAAATATCAAATAAAATTTCCATCGATAAGCATTCGACAAGTCGTTGAAGGACCTATAGCGTTAGGCACTCATTGCTAAGGATTCGCCATGCATTCGACTCCATTCGTATCAACGTAAGCGTGATATTTGACCTGTAGAGTGACTTGCGGCGGCCTACTGACGTACTAAGTTACTGTTTCTTATCTTTTCTGAAAACACTCATCAAAAGATTACCTTGTTATTAAATCTGAATAGCGTAGTGGATAATAAATGAAAACGTATTCATTCAATGTAATACACAGAAGATTGAGTATTGTCGCCAAATTAGCGAATCTGCAAGGAAAAATCTAAATTGTAGAAGAAATCAGTCAACAGAAAACCTCAAAATCCAATAGACAAAAGATGAAATATCCCGTGTTGCATTTCTAAAAATCTCTTTATTTTTCTTCTTTCCGAACCGCTTCTACATTTTTCTCTGATTCCTCGCGCCCTTTCAAATATTCTTCGTATCGAAATCGATCCTCAAGAATTCCATTGAAAAATTCCTTGGCTTTGGTCGTTTTCTCAAACCCTCATGTCGTCTAATTTCCAGCCTTCATTCCGCTTTCAAATATACTTAATGTAGTTGTTATATTAAAGAACGTTAGGATAAACAAATAACATTCAAAACACGGTCTATTTAAAACACGCGGCTTTCATCCAATATAGAAATAGTGGGACACTTTGTTTTCATGGTCGACATCAAATATTGTGAGGATCCGTACTTCTTCCATTCGATTCGTTCCCTCTCGCCCTGTTATCCATAAAGGTCTTCGAGTGCGATTGAGTTCGACTCGTACTTGAGAATTGTCGTCTCCGTCATGAATGTCTTTGAATGCTGGACAGGTCGACTCTCTCCGTCCAAGAGCCGATCGTGGAATAGCAGTGATAAGGCGTACCTTAGGTTAGGATAGGAGGAAATCTTCCAGACAAATATGATACCACTTCCTTAACACCGAAGAGATGAGAGGCTTGGATGATCTGGTTAGGGCTCTAGCAAAGGTATTAGATGTAACGCATGGTATCACTGCTCCTGCGCTAGCCACACACTATAGGATCTTGTTGAGAAGGAATTATTGAGGAATAAAGGATAATTCGCGTCTGGTTCGCTGTAATTAGATATCCACATGCAAATAAAAAGAATTTTACACTTTTAAGAAGATAACATAGCTTATACTTCAATCGAATAGTACCACTGAAGGAAAACACTGTCGAGTTTCAGCTTTCTTTTCAATTTTGATGGAAGACATAGTTAAAAGGTGTGACAACAAACCGTAAGAGCATGCCACTGTATTGATCAACACGTATCGATATTATTGATTGATCCGAATTCAGATCAGTCTTTAACAATTTAATAGCGAAGAGAATTGATGAAATACCTGAAAGTGAAGGAAACAAGAGTGGAATGGCATGATAAGACGTGAAAGAAATACGCTGGAGCGGGAGAGTATGATCCGAGGGCATTCCCAAAAAAACTTTTGTAGATGCTGGATTGAAGGAAAATGACTAACAAGTCAATACAGAAGAATTCCTAAGTTCCTTCTTCTAATTTCCTCAATTTTTTTTTCGTATATCTCTAGCCTCTACCGAAAAAAATGTTGTAGTGTCTCATTCTGGCTGTGGAGTGTTCCTCTGCGACGAACTATGATGTTCAGCCATGGGATCACTATCCTAGCAGGTGCTCTTAAAATGGGAACAAGTTGAAAACTTTTATCCAGAAGTGCAACTCAGAGTAAATCGGTGCAAGAACCACTGCTCTCCTAGGATCAACACAGTCACTAGCTGACAAATGGTAATTGATTTGAGAAGGCCATTGGCTTCGATACTTCACGGAAAGAAAACGTTGGCACAAACAGCGAATTACCAGTTAAATGGAAATTGTACAAGGGCTAGTATAAAATGCGAATAGAAAAGACAGGCCACTTAGGTATTCGAATTTACATTTTCACATGTCAAAAAATCCATACACATACCTTTAATAGTGTCAATAATAGTGAAATCTAGAATCATTATGTAAAAAGTGTGGAAGAATGACTTTCGACGTTTCGCTAACAGAGAATAAAGGAAAAACAGATTCAGAAAAATCGCCAGGCTTCCAAGAATAACATACGAGACGCCGAAACCACGTGCTATCGGCTCCCAACGCCAAACTGAAACATATTCACATAAAAATAAGCGATAGAATAAAGAACAAGGACAAATATTATTCAGGCACACGAGCGTAACGAAGAAGTTACGCGCCCGCAGCGCACGTCTTATTTGATCTCGAACCATCGAGAAAATTTCTGGCCCAACGCCAATACTCCCGCGACGACGCTTAATCTTGGGTTTGTTGCGGGCCGGACGACGCCTAATTTTCAGCCTTCCAGGACTTGCTGATTTTTCGAAATCGAGCAATAATTTTTCGAGAACTAAAAGACTTCGTGGGTTGTGAACATGAATCGATTATAGAAAAGACTTTGATGTACTGATTTACGAGTGCGAGTGACATTTATAATGCTTTTTAGTATATGTATGTTGACCTTTTTATTTACAGCCTACCATAATTTTTAACAGCAGGGTATATTGTGAAATACAACTAAGATGATGCTGAGATATTTGTAAAACTCTGGATCGCAGGTGTCTGCGACGGGGAACAAACGCGCTGTCGTCCTCTTCGGAGAGTAACGCGTTCACCACCAGACCATGCGGGTCCTTCGTTTCGCGTGTCTCTCAGTTAGTTCTTTTGATCGGCGCCATCAGCAATCACCCGTCAACAGAACTGATCTAGAGGCCCAAATCGGCAACGAACCTAGTTAAGCTGAAGCTAAACTCGAAATCACAATCTTAACCTTTTTATTTACCGCCTACTAAAATTTTTAACGGCAGGGTATCATGTAAAATACATCTAACATGAGGTATAAATAAAAAGGTTAAGATGTTCTATTAAACCAGATGGAACTAGCTGAGAGACAGGCGAAACGAAGGATCCGCATAGTGTGGTGGTGAACACATTACTCCCCGGAAAGGACAACAGCGCGTTAGTTTCCCACCGCAGACACCTGCGGTCCGGAGTTTTGCAAATATCTCAGCGTCATCATAGTTATATGTATGTTACTTTAGTCAGTCATCCAAACACATTACTGTCAGCATCTGCAAGTGTTTTGCCACTTACGGGTCTCTACTTCAGTATTTTTCAGACCCAGTCTATTCACCATTTGGTAGCATTTTATATTTATACGACTGTCATCTATTATAGCAATTAGATACTAGGATCGACTTTCTATTAACTTCGGCATTGGATTATAAATGTGTCGCTCTCTTTCGTACAGCAATCTCGAGGTTATTAAACGGCATACGTTTGCTTCCATACAATAACAGACATACAACACAACCGTGACTGACGTTTTGACAGTATCGCCTCCTTCAGAGCCGCCTTTTCCACCCGTCTTCCACCGAGGAAGAACAGCCCATCATAGTCGCATATGTTTTTATCAATTTCTATGAAGAAAAATAGATTCTAATAAAAAGAAAAAAAAGCTGATAGGAGAATAAAAAGAGAAAAAGAATTTAATTTTGCAGCAGACAATTATGCAATGTTTTCGTAGGTATATACGAGTTAATAAATAAATAAAAATGGTGAAGCTCTCAACGTTGATCGATCCCTTAGGGATGAACCATGCATTCTACATCATTAAGCATCGCTTGAAGGTGACTGGATGTATAGCTGGCCTTTACAATGACTCTTCTATCTAGGTCGGGAAATCAACACATTGAACAACTTAGCTCCAGAGTTGAGCAGAAGGAAACGAGCAGCTTGGGGAGCTTTCAAGAACATCGAGGATGTAGTGAAGAGAACAAAGAACACCTGACTCCGTGTCAATCTTTTCGACTCAACGGTATTTCTTGCCCTAACGTATGCGCCAGAAACCTGGCCGATGCGTAAGAAGGATGAAAGGTCGGTCACTCAGCGTTATCGAACGCGCAGTCGAAAGGACGATGCTAGGAGTATCCCGTTCTACACAAGTAAAGGATGGGATCCGAAGATCCGATCTGCGTCAACGATCAAAAATTAGGGATGCCGTTCTGTACGCCAAACAGTCGAAGATAAGGTGGTCCGGACACGTAATGCGTATGAATGACAACCGATGGACAGGAGCCATTAGTGACTGGATTCCCCAGAATGTTAAACGAACTGCAGGAAGACCACCGACTTGATGATCAGAGTTGTTCACGAAAAGCCTAGAAGAAAGATATAATGTTTGACAAGTCCCTAAAGCGAACAGAACCCATTGGGCTACCCTTGCACGCGACAGGGAAAAATGGAAGATTTACTGGCGCCCGCTCGAACCACTCGACGATCAACGGGACTACAAGTGATACCGGTGGTACAATGACTCTCGGTGGCCTACCGATGCATCGACCCAGTTCTCCCAGACAAATCTTGTACCAATTTGCCGACCACGAAGGGATCAAAGGTTTGGTGGGCCGGCCAAGTACGGAAAGCGGGGATGCATCCTGCGTGTGTGTTGTAGAGCGCCTCCGACCACTGCGCCACGCGCATTCTTTATAAGTCAATATAAGGCACAAATTTGGAAAAAAAATTATGAAGCGAAATGAGAATAAAAGGCCATTTTTAAATGAAGTGAAAAATTTCCAACCTTTAATGGAAGCAATAGAAAGTTTCTGTGGGATTTCCTACAAAAGTTTTTTTCACTGCTCTACCCTTTTTAGAGACTAGTAGATAAAGTACTTTTTCGATTATAAAAACGGGACCACTAACAAAACTGTCGAGAAAAAGAGCTAAGCAAAATTAATAGTAAATGTTCAAAAACCCTCACTAGCATTGTGATTTCTGAACGTAGTCCAAAAATTTTACGAAAATACGGTAGTCTAACAGAATGAGAATTGGAAACAAAAAAAAAGCACAAACCATTATTTTCAACAGCGTTCGGTCGACTATCGCGAAACCAATTGGCGAAATCCTCAGCGCTAAAATTCGACGCGTCCAACGGAAGCGACATCGGATGCGACGGCGGTGAACGTGTCCCTAAAATACGGAAACTCATGCCAAAGCCAAAGCAATCGAGAATAATTCGCGAGTATGAGGAATAGCGAATAAGACGGTTAAACGAAAAGCACCTTGTCATAACCACTAAATTTTTGTCATTTCTACTACTATGGTGTCATCTCTACTAAAATGAAGCCAACAGCATAATTTTGCAAAGAACTTTACAAACAATAAAGACTTTATTACGATATGAAGATCGTTTTGATTCACAGATAAAAAGCTCTCGGCGTTGATTAATACCATAGGAATGCGCCATGCATTCGACTTCATTAAGCACCGTTTGAGGGTGATTCAATACATATCTGGCCTTTAAAATGATTACCGCCGTGTCGACCAGTGCTACTATCTCCCAGACAAGTCTGGCACCAATTCGCTGACCCCGGAGGAATGGAAGGCTTGTCGAGCCACGGACGCGGGGATCGATCCCATGTGTGTTGCAGGGCTCCTCTGACCACTGCGCCACACGCACCGTGATTCACACATAAAAACTAAAAAAGTAAGACGTGAAAGAAATGAAAAGTTATCAGCACGGAAAAGAAGGATGCCAGCATGATTCGCACAGAAAATCGTAAGTGAGCTACCGTACACAGTTTTTTCCACCTCTATATTTCCTTTTTTTCTTGAATGTTTATTTTTCACTGGGCATGAGAAGATTTAAAAAGAGTACTGTTCAAATAACCTTTACTGCATTTTATCGTTCATAAGACCTTTGTAGGTGATTTGTACCCGCTCGATCTAAGTCCTCAACCACCGAACATTAGTTTTATTTAATACACCTTAACTGCAAACACATTAGTTCAACAACATTAAGTGTGTGCTTTTCAACTTTTCAAGGAAAAATCAATATTTTCTTTATTTGCGGAAAAATCAAAACTGAAAAAGTTTATTTTCTATTTCAAGGAAAAGTAATAGGCCAATTTAAAATTAAAGAACGCTCGTGAAATTATGAGAATGTGGCACGAATTTTCACCGTTTCCAAGACGACCAGCAAAAAATATGCTCAACAAGTAAAGCTTATAGGATTACTAGCAATACATGATAAGAGCAAGTAAAAAGTAGCTGTAGGATTAAATCCATCTACCTTGATGACTTATGATGGTTCGATTCTCGTTTAAGACTTCAAAAATCTTCACCCTACATGTAAGAACGTACGTCATCGAGACGAAGTTGAACTGGCACTAGGAGTATCTGATTTCAACGCGGATCGAATTACCACGTTATTACTGATTGAAGGTGTTCGATATAATCTATATGAATGAGGAAGTTTAATATGGATCTGTCGAATGAGCTCTCTAATCAATATCGGTGAGATAATGTGTTTCTTATGGAATGGATGATCACATTATTATTGATTAAAAAGGTAATCAATATCAATGAGGTTTGGCACTAAATCGATAATCACATCAACATCGATCGAAGGCTTAGTCTAGAAAATCGATATAGCTGCTGTGCCATAGTTTTAAAAAGGCCTACCTTAGCGGCAAAAAACGTGGAGAAAGCCAGAAAGCTGGACAAACAAAGCGGCCACCACAACCACTTTCGACATTTTTTTAATCTTTTGGCTATATTTGTCTAAAAAAGAACATTTAAGACGTATAAGCTGCGGTTCGAAGTTCTACAAATATCTTAGCATCACTGTTGTTGCATTTCACATCATACCGTGCAATGAAAAAAGAAAAGGCAGTAAATAAAAAAGTGACTACATTGTGACCTATAGCTTCAGCTTAACAGGGTTCAATGCCGATTTGTGCTCTCCAGATCAATCCCGTTGACACGTGATTGCTGATAGCACCAATAGGTTAAAACATAGTTGAGAGAGAGTGGAAACGAAGGACCCGCATAGTGTGGTGGTGAACGAGCCAGTCCCCGGAAGGGGTAATAGCGCATTCGTTCCCCACCGCAGACACCTGCGGTCCAGAGCTTTGCAAAAATCTCAGCATCGTTATAGTTGTGTTTCATG